ATCAGTGGTGGCCTTATTGCCTAAAAGATGGTGGCTTGCTTCTTCCATCTGGGAAAGAGCTGTTTCCTCACCAGTGAGCAGGGCCCCACTTCACATAAAGGAACCAGCTATCTTGTAGTAATTCAAGTAATATTTTGACCACGCCATTTAGTACAAAAGGTAGCTTGTGGTAGGTCTGTGTTGCTTCCAGAAATTTTCACTCTAATGCTGCATTTGTAAATAAGCTCAGTGGCCATTTCAGCCCCTGTGAGACCTGAAGCTTGGAAATTTAAAGCGAGTTGCTGGACTCCAGTTAGCTACCAGTTTGCATGCAAAGACAGCCTTTGAGGATGTAAATCTGTTGCCTCATTCAAAAGAGCAAACGGCTGAGCTCAGATGGATGGGAACACACAGCATTTTCTGTCCTCCTTCATTTCTGTATCAAAGGTTTGCATCAAATGGAATTTTTGCAGTCAGGATACAGCTTGAGGAATCTTCCATTTAATCTGCCCACAAATTGTCAAGCTACTGCATGCAGGGTGGTGCCATAGTATGGAACTATGACTAAGCGTCACCTGCCAGAAAGGAAAGGCAGCTGGGGGAACCCTTTGTCAAGGTAATAACTCTGTATTCACTGAAGGCAGAGCTGTCTCAGGGGAGTGGGTCTTTCCAGCTGGCTAAGGGCTGCTGCAGTAACAAGCATTAATAGCTCCTGAAGGCAGATGATGTAGAACAGAAATCACCTCCCTACACCTCCTCACAGGTGCTCTCGCCTTCTTAAAGTGTGAAGAGCAGCTCCCCACTGTACCATCCTGCTGGCCATCTGGCTGCATTGCGCTGGCCGTGGCGCTATGCAGTCGTGGTTTTGGGATGGACGAGAGTAGATGAGTGCTTTAGATCCAGCGGGCGCACACAACCGAGTGACGTGGAGCAGCCTGCTCGTGGGAGTTAAGTGCTGCATCTTGGATAACACCGAACGTGATTCACAAGGAATGAAATTTTAACTCTTGGATTGTTCACATTGCAGAAATGCATTTCAAATCCATTTGATTTTTTGGCTGGAATTGCAGTTGTTGCTGCCTCTGTGGTGACAAGCACAGTCACTCTTGACACTGTTTTGAGACACTTAAGTGGGAAATAGAGCCAGCGTTCAAGGTGATGGCAGGCAACTCTGTTCCTCAGACTAGCACTGCGATGCAGATATGACTAGATTACACTGTTGTTACTCCTCTGATGGACTCCCTAACAGACCTCTGTCAAACAATTTATCTTGGAGATGGAAAAAGGAGCCTGACTGCTTTTGTCAGTGTTCTGGGAAGGGTTCTCGGTCTGTGCGTTTCTTACTGGTCTTTGGAGAGAGAGTGGATGATAAGCTTCTTGCAATTCTCACTTGATTAAGGATCTTCACTGTAGATGAGCTTAAACACTAGCAGAAACTGCTGGAAGAACTAGGAGCTCATATTAGGAGCTAATGATAATCTGAGTGGAGACACATGTCAGGGACTGGGCTCAGCATTAAGACTGGTTTATCAGTGGAAGTCCAGTTGCAGGTCAAGACAAAGGAGGCCATAGCCACAAGAGGAGACAACAGTTTTTCAGAAGAACAGCAGGGTAGGCTGGACAGTACTACAAGAGAGCACAGATATGGGAAGCGTAAGGTGGATATGAGAAAGAAATAAATCATGCTAGGCTGGACCTTGGAGTCAGCTGGATAGTTGCTCATAGTCTCACTGGGTGCCAGCTCAAGCTTCAGTAAGTGAATGAAAGGAGACAGTGCACGATTCATCCTGCCTTTGCCTATCCATGCAGTTCACCATCTCAGCCCATACCACCTATAGGGAAAAATGCTGAAATATTTCCTAATAATAATTCACATTCAGATTTTCTAGCATTATTCCAGAGAGGCTAATAGAGGAGGTGGTATGTCCAGGACGATCATCTCTCTTTGCTCAGTAGCATTCAGAGAGCCCTTTGGTGGTACTTAGTTCAAAACAGAATGTAAATTTGTTAAGGTTTTATGAAGATAATGTTAAATGAGAGAGAGCAAGGAAGCTTGCAAACATGGCCTTTAGATTCAAAGCTGCGAAGAATGTCAGTACCAGGAATGATGTAGTCCAACAACTGGAGGTTCATAAATGGTTTCCCTGAAGCATTGAACCTTTCACAGCATAAGATGTACAGATCTTCTATACCTGTGTCAGCCTGAGGAGATACCCTCTGCTTTGGAGTGGAATTGGGTGCCACGTCTCTATAACAGAACTTCCTCACGAGGGCTGCTAATTTGGTTAGATGTTTATTTACAGCAAGGTTCGGTGATAGAAGAAGATACACTGAATAATCCAGTGGGCAGGAAGCTGCTAATGCAGGTAAGGCAAAGGCAGGTGCTTTGGTACTTTCAGTACCGTTGAGGAGGCAGGAGTATTACCATGATAAATTTAATGAGTCCTTGTTTTTTGGTTTTGATTTCTGCCTCTAGCTGTGTTTTTATTCCGTGTTGCGTAAGTGTATCTTATTAATCTGTAAATAAAATGACTATGTAACAGAAGTGAAAAATGAGTTTACAGAAAATGCATTTTAATGCAGGCCTAGATGATTTCCCTTAATGTCTATTTTTAGCTGGGTGGGTGCACTCCTTTCCTTTCGTAACCCAAAGGCACCTCTCTCATTTTCTTTTTATGCAAATTAGGCTTCCCACACCATTAAATCATTTTTTATTGACTATTGAGACTGCAAAGAAATGGACTGAACTTTAATACGCTACATTACCATACCATAAAACACAATTTGTAGATCTTATTTAGATTCTGTGTTGCTGCACTTCCTCTAAATAATTGTTATTACTGAAGAAGATTTACAGGCACCGTTTAAAGAAAGAGTAAGTCCCCTCCATTTTGTATGCATTGCAACACTGGCTGTGTGTGATTTCACATCTAAACCCCCTTGCTCCTGATTCTTTTCTGAACTGAAACAAGTCACGTTATGCTGTTAGTTGCTAATAGAGCTTTTAATATGGCAGCATCCAGAACTTCTGCTGACTTCAAACAGTGCCAGGACTTCACCCCTTCTTTCATGCCGCTAAGTTTGTGCTAATTTTGCAAATGAAGTGTTTATCTTCAGGCTGTAAATTGTCACTTTGCACATCCTCATCCTCATTATTGCCACATGCGTGGCATCAGCTGCTATGCAGCACTTGGCAGGAAAATGCTCTGTTCCTTGGGAAGTGCAAGTAAAATACCGTCCTCCCACAAACTTCTGAATAAGGCTGTGCACATACTCAGCTTGACAAGGTACATGGCCTTGCTTTCTGTTATTATAGATAGCTGCAGCTTCTCGGAGCCAAGGGAAGGGATGCATGCTGAAATTTTATAATGATTAACCAGAGAAATGTATATGAGTCACTCTTTGAGAGTATAGCTTGTACCAAGAAACTAATGTTTTGTGCATGTTGACAGCCTTGGAGAATGACATTTATCGGTAGCACAACCTAGGGATGGCGAAGAAATACTCAAGCATTTTCTCAACGATGCTTCACCCTTCTTCTAGAAGAACCACTTCAGAAGTGGCAGGGTGTTCAGCCATGCTGTCATTTCAGTACACAATCATTTTCAGTGTGCCAGTAGAGTGCTATTTGTGGTCCCAGTCTCATGTCACCTAGGCCAAGGAGGAGCCTTTCCATGGTCAGGCAGGACTGCCTTTGAGATGCTCTCCTGCTCACTTCTACCCAGCAAGTTCCATGTCAGCATGTCAAGTCCCCACCTTCATCTGGGTCTCCCAGCATTTTGAAACTGGCAGAGTTTCAAAGCTATCTAAGAGGAATTTTCAGGCTAGTTTCCCCCCTCTAAGAGACTTTCTGAGAATATTCACTACCTTTAAAAGTCAGGGCATTTAAGGTTGTGTCTAATTTCAGAATTATTTGTCTAAATCTGAAGCCTGAATTAGTAATTTCGAATTGGACTCTTAAACTGTCAATACTTACTGTGTTACCACATCAGTTAAAAAAAAAAAAAAAAAGAGACTTTGAGCTTTTGCAGTAAGAACGTGTAGAACACAGGTAGGTTATGGACCAAAAAGCAATGGCTGCTGTATGGAGAGAGAGAATTACTTTATATATATATATGTGCATACGTACATGCATACATGTATATATAAAAACACAGTTTCCCTTTTCAGTTGCGTGTGGCAGTGAAAATTGAGTATCACTTTTGAAGCCTTTTGCAAGGATTTAATGCATAATAAATCTAGAATTAGAGTAGGCTATTTCAGTTAGAAGAGACCTCCAATGATCATCTAGTCCAATACAACGATCACCTAGTCTGACGATGATCTAGTCCAAATCCTGAGAAATGTTAAAGTTCAACCTTGAGATATATACTCTGTAGAGTATGTATGATGAAGTAGGTGTGTGAATACACGATATAAGTAAGTCTCTATGATAAAAGCCTTTTGATTTTAATAGTCTCTGAAAAGTTAAGAGACGTCTATCATAAACTAGACAAATAAGCAGAGAGAAACACTCTTAATCATCTTTTAAAATGTGGAAATACTCTTTTAAATAAGTTCTGTAATGTCCAGCTCAGTCAGATGTATCCTGTTACTCTGACATGTTTAAAGTTCTCAGTAGACAGTGATGGCTTATTCTGTTCTTTTTTTCCCCAGGTTATTTGGAAATGCATATGATGGCTTCAAGTGGCTACCAGCCCTGCTTCCTTAGGGCTCAGTTCAGCACTATTTACATTCCTGATTGAGGAATCCTTAAGGCCATCCTCTGTCAGGACAACACCTAAAGATCTCCATGAACATGTATAGAGCCCTTAGCATTGAAAAAAGATCCGTTCAGTGAATCCACTTGTGATAGTAAGCACTAACCATAGTAGTAAGCACTGCGCAGGATCATGGTCTTATGTTTTAAAAAGCTTGAGGGAGATGATATGTAATTAATATAAAGAAGGATCTCTGACTTGTTTCAGCTAATGGTAGGGTGTTTTTTGTTTTTTGTGTTGGTTTTTTTTTTTTTTTTTTAGCTGAACTCTTCATGGAACAACAGCATCTCAAAGAAGCAGGCTTTTGTATCCAGGAGGCAACTAGTCTTTTCCCCACATCTCATGCTGTACTGTACATGCGTGGGAGGCTTGCAGAGATGAAAGGCAGTTTGGAGGAGGCTAGGCAATTGTATGATGAAGCGCTCACAGTGAATCCAGCTGGAGTGGAAATTATGCACAGCCTGGTGAGTTTGCAGGGGCTCAGCTCCATTATAGTATTTATGTTCCTGATTAACTGTAATAAGAGGGGAGAGGGCTCATGGTTGCTCTGGATGCCATTGTCTTCCTAATCCTGAGAGCAAGTGACTGTTCCAAGAATAAATTGGGTAGCTTGAACCTCTATTTTAAGACTGGATTGAATGTTTTTAACTAATTAGGACTTGTGTCAAAAGTAAATACTTTAATTGACAAAGGCTGATACTTTTGGAAGTCAATTCACTGCTTTGTCTCTGCTACTTTTCCTACTAACTGTTATGCATTTTAAGCAGTACACTGATGTTTGAAAGATCTGAACTAAATAACTATAGAATATAGACATATACATGGTTTGTAAACCTTGGGCTGAAGTCTTGTGTCTATTCAAATCAAGATAAACTATGAGTTTACAATATAATTAATCTGTTACAGTCTTAAGCTGCAGCTTAGCTCCAGCCTTGTACAGGGGCAGTGACTCCACATGGGGTGGGGTTTTTTGGTAACACTCCTCTCCAGCAAGTATTTTTTCTGTTGCACCATCCCCAAAACAAACTTAGTTACAGACACAGGTCCTAGTGCATCATAATAATAATAATAATAATAATAATAATACAGGAGCTTTGTGGAAGACCAAGACCCGCTTCTCTTATAAAATCAGAACAGTTTAATCATATTTCATCAGTGATGTGTCTTGTTAACTGTAGCCCTTACTAGGTCTCTCTGGGATTTTATAAGTCTTCCTTGACTAATTTGTTTTTTACAGGAATTCTATATCCATGTGACCACTTTGTGTCTTTGCTAGCAGAATTGCATTTCCTGGTATAAATTTGGTGCTGATAAGGTTTGCAGGCAACTCCAAAACTGAAGGGGTATCAGTGCACAAGAGGACAAACGTAAAGTGAAGTTATAATTGAGAGCAAATAGTAGAACCTACAGGCAAGGGATGAGATATTTGGTAATAATGAATGTTCAGTGCAAAACCAGCAAATGAATAGCTGGTACATATGTCAGGAGAAGGTTACAAAACAGCCATGCACATATCTGGCTTATATGGGGCAATAATATTACTTTGTTGCTGTGATCCAACCTTTACAAAATTAGTCGGCAAAAACCTGGCAAGGTAGAATGATGTTCTTTGCTCAGTTAGTGTCATGATTTCAGACAAGTCACTGATACCAGAGCAGCCATCAAGTTAGATGCCAACGTGATACTAATAGCTTTCATTTTTGTCTTCTTTTATGGGCAGAACCACATACTGTGTCTTCCCACTTCAGTTGCTTGCAATTTTCTGAAACTATAGTCATTTGGAATAAAAATTTGAGATGCACATCTGCTCTGGCCCAGTTTCCTTTAGAAAATGTCACCCAACATGGCTTAACTGTTTCTGAAAATGAGGCTAAAGAAGAGACCCTAAAGGCTCTGTGACATCTTCTTTACTGTGCTTTATTGTCTCCAGGTTTCATTGAGAATGAGTAGTCTTTGTAACATATTAATGTGCTTTTTACCATCCCTAAGAAAATCCTTCGTAGGTTATCCAAGTTATAACCTTTAAAAACCACGTCATATATGTGCTTAGTAGATAGGCATTTCTGAAACCTCCAAGGAGTCTGTGAATGCTCATTCCCCTCAAACCCCAGTAAGCTCCATCATCTCTTAGTCAAGGGGTGGAAGTAAAATTTAGGAGCGGTGAAAAAGACAATGTGATGGGGAATTTGGGGACAGAGACTCAGTCCATAATGTCTCTATAACAGAACTTCCTTGCGAGGGCTGCTGTCAGTCCATAATCATATAGGGAAGAGGAAAGATAAACTCAGTAACAAAGTGAGAGAAATAAGGATAGATAGAAAATAAGATACGACAGCTAACACTGGACAAGACTGGATAAATAAGAAGAATGAGACTGGGTTAAGGAACCCGGCTGAGACACCTGGGTTGAGGGGTGGGCGTGTTGGAAAGGGTAAATTAAAGGGGTCAGTCTTAGACCAGAGACAAAGGAGCGTGAACCTGTAAGAGTACAGATTCCATAGGCTTTAGTCTCCTTAAAATTCTGCATCTTCCTGTCCTGGTGTTAGCAAATACCAGCAAAAATCACTCGCTTAAGCATCTGCCTCATCTCCTTTAGCTTGGCCATGCTGGCAGCCTGCGGTTTACACCTGTTAGCTAAGATAGCACAGGTCTGGTCTATCGCTGCTGATATGAATCATGGCAGTAGTTATAGGATGCCACATAATGGCATTCCTTTTTATGCTTTTCCAAAAGCTAGGAAATTGCACATAACAAATTAGAAGCATCTGATGAGCACTATAGAAAAGCCTGTAAAGAAATTAATCATCCTGCCTTCAAAACAGAGCTGGAATGATGTGCAGTAAACAAGGCTTTTAGGGCTATGCATCAAATAAAAAGGGCAAAAATATTGAATGGCTGCTAGCTAAGTGGTTTTGTCCCGTGTACTGAATGAGACAGTGTCCCCATTGAATACTTAAGACTGGGTTTATGCAATTGAGGATATAATCTAACAAGTGGTAAATTCTGCATCTCCTTGAGGCCATCAGAAGAAGTCTGGATGCCTTTCTGAAATGTATGTATTAAGCACTAGCTGTACTGTTATTAAAAATACAAGTTCTTGAGCACAGAATGTTCAGTTACCTACTAAAGGGAAATGTATGTCTTGGGTTATGCAACAGGCCAAACTAGATTATCGGCTAGTTCCAAGTGGCTTGAAACTATGCAAGACATACACAGGCAGCTGAAATTAAATTACCATAGAATCATGCGGTTAGAAAAGACCTTTAAGATAGAGTCCAACTGTAGCTGTCCACTACTAAACCATATCT